GTGTGTGTGTGTGTGTGTGTGTGTGTGTCTGTCTGTGTGTGTGTGTGTGTGTGTGTGTGTGTGTGTGTGGCTGCAGGCCATATTTAGTGCAGTGTTTCCCTCTGTGTCTGTAATGTCAGGGTTCAGTGTGTGTATCCTTATATAGTCTTGTGTGGTCGGTAGAGTCACTGTGTGTGTGTGTGTGTGTGTGAGAGAGATTGAGTGAGAGATATCTTCATATATCTGAAATCATGTTGACTGATGCTCTCAAACACACCTGTATTTACTCTCCCCACAAACATGAGGTTTCCAGCAGAGTATTGATTGTTCTGGTAGTTGAGTTACTGTAGTATTTATTCATTCATTCATGTACAGCAGCAGATGCTTTAATCCGCGTCACTGCATGCTGATATCAGACACACTGGTCATGTGTATTTGAAGGGACAGTTCACCCAAAAATCACAATTCTGTCATCATTTATTCACCCTAACCCAGTTTCGGATCCCATTGACTTCTTTAGTATTTGAAAAATACCAGCAACTGTATGGTTGCACACATTCTTAAAAATCAATTTAAGGAGCTTTTCCTTTAAGGAGGTTTTAGGTTAGGATATACTGTTATAATTGTTTTCTACTGAAACTAAACAAAAGTGAAAAATGTTGTCTTGCCAACTAGCTTAAATTAATTAATTTTTTACATATTTAAAATTTCATTTCAGTTAATGTTTATTTCAAGTAATTTTTATGGTTTTAGTTTTAATTAATGATAATAATCCTGAATTGGACAAAGATTTGAGATAAATCAATTTACCTCTCATGTTCTGAGAAGTTTAGAATAAAGAACTGATAAACTGTAAATGTGCATGAAGACGGGTCTTCATGATGAAGAACTGATCAGAAGTATCACTGAACGCCTGACTGAATCTGTCTCTCTTTCCTCTTTCAGCCGGAGAACCTACAGAAGACGTGGCTGCGGGAGTTTTGCCAGGTAAGAAACTCTTCTGATCTCGTCCTCTGTTTGACAGGCTCCGCCCCTCCAGTGGATCTCAGATATGATTGGCTCACCTTTATGACATCACTGTCTGACACTGATGTCACAATCTGTGCATTGAAAATGATGACCTGACACTTGTTCTGTGTAACGTGTTTTTTGTTCTTCAAAGAACTTGCTTTGTTGTTGCAACAATCACAGCTTTTTGTAGGAAGATTGCACTTTTTGTTTCATTTTCATGTTTTTATATTGTTACCTTTAAATAGAAATGATTTTAAATGTTCCTTTATTTTTTGTTATTTAAAAAAAAAATTGTATATAGCCATTATTCTGTATTTAGTAAAAAGCAGTATGTGATCACTATGTTCAGTTTTTTTTTTTTTTACAAGTGTCCAGATCATATATATTTTTAATGGAGGGCTAAAAAAAATATATATAAAATAACCCTTTTAAATTTTTCAAGAGCAAATGCAAAAATATTAATGTATATTGAATATTGTGGAAAAAAATTAGATTTTTAGCTATTAGGGCTGCTCGATTATGGCCAAAATCATATTGGCAATTATTTTAGTTGATATTGTAATCATGATTATTTAATGCAATTAGCATGGATGATATGACCAAATTTTATATTAGATTTTTTTTTTACTACAGTAGCAATATATAGCCTATATCAAGTATATTTTGCTGGAAATAAGGTTGCTATGTTATATAAAAATTTTAGATGCCAGTGAAGTTTCACAGTTTTCAACACCAGTTTCGATACAGCGTCAGAAACTAATACTAGGCTAACTAAAGAAAGTAAAAAAATTCCTTAAACAATGAGTTTTTCATTTTTTTGTTTTTCACAGCTTAATATGATTTTAATAACATGATTTGACAGATTTGTACATTAAGTTTGTGCTTTGAATAGGGTTGCTCGATTATGGCATTTGGCCAATATTGTAATCACGATTATTTAACATGATTATGAGTGGGCCACATGACCAAAACCCTATACGAGTGATTTATTTAAAGATAGCGATTTATATCAAATATATATTTTCTGTAAATAAAGTTATGGCAACCTCTACATTGTAAAGGCCAGCGAAATTTCACAGTTCTCAAAACCACAGAAGAATAGTGGGGTAACTCATATTAGTAAAAAACAAAGTGTGTGAAAGTGTGTGTGAGTGTGTTTGAGTGTTTGAGTGTGTGTGTGTTTGAGTAAATTAAAGTAAGTGCTGCTCCATCTGAAAGCATGTGAAAATACCACATTTAATAACATATTTTTACTCCAAACTCACTTTGGAGTGTTTGAAATAAATCCTTCTGTGAGATGATGTGGCTTCTTACACAGAATAAGGCACGCAACATATTTCATAACATTTAAGCAGTGATGAAGGCAGTGTGTGTGTGTGTGTGTGTGTTTGAGTGTGTGAGAGTGTGTGAGAGAGAGAGTGTGAGTGTGTTTGAGTCTGTGTTTGAGTCTGTGTTTGAGTCTGTGTTTGAGTCTGTGTTTGAGTGTGTGTTTGAGTGTGTGTGTGTGTGAGTGTGTTTGAGTGTGTGTGTGTGTCTGTGTGTCTGTGTGTCTGTGTGCGTGCGTGCGTGTGTGTCTGTCTGTCTGTCTGTGTGTGTGTGTGTGTGTGTGTGTGTGTGTGTGTGTGTGTGTGTGT